CTCTCAGAACTATCTGCCTTCCAACGATTTCTGAAATGTATTTGAAAGCAGAGTGGCAATCCCCACAAACTCTGAGATTCTTCATTATTCTTATAGGCATTTTTGATGGACGAGTTAGAACAAAAGCAACTGCAATCTTCTCACTGTGATAGCTCAGAAGCTCCTCCTTGTTCTCCCCTTCAAGGTCATAAAGTGCGAATCTAGTCTCCGGTACATACCCGGCTTGCCTCATTTTCGTATTCAGTTCCTTCAGTTTTTCATATATTAAGTCCTTTTCAGGGTGTGATTTGTCTCCTGCAACAAACACATGAACGCCATCTTTCATTGTCACCCAACTACATCCTGCTTCCTTCTTCACAAACGCCTTCCTCATTGCCACCCTCGTTTTCGCCACATCTTCCCACTTCCCACCTGAAGCATACATGTTTGAGAGAAGGACATAGTTCACTGCATTCCTTGGTTCCATTTCCAGCAGCATTTCGGCTGCTCTCCTCCCGAGTGCTGTGTTGCGACCATTGGCTCTGGAACATGCCCCTAAGACTGTCCTCCATATTAGAATGTTAGGCTTCACTGGCATCTTGTTGAGGAAATCCTCCACCTTGTTTAGCTCTCCGGCGCGACCCAGAAGGTCCACCATACATGAAAAGTGCTCCATGCGGGGAGCTAATCCGTATACTTCACTCATTGAATCAAAATGACGGAACCCTTCATTGACTAAGCCTACATGACTACATGCAGAGAGAACTCCAACAAAAGTGACATGATCTGGGAGTGGACCATGTAACTTCATTCGGGCGAAAAGATCCAACGCTTTTCTTCCGTGTCCATGACGTGAATACCCCGAAATCATGGAGTTCCAGGAATATAAGTTTCTTGCAGGCATCAGTTCAAAGAACCTTGAAGCATAATCTATTCTTCCACATTTTGCATACATATCTACAAGTGCACTTCCAACAACAACATCGGATTCTAAACAAGCTCTTATGCTGCATCCATGGACTTCCATGCCGCACTCTAAGGTTGCAATGGTTGCACAAGCACTAAGCACAGTTGCAAAGGTGAAACCATCCAATCTCTGGCCTCTCTGCGTCATAAACCAGACCATGTCCATGGCTTTGGGCAAGAGCTCATTATGTATATAACCCGAAATCATGGAATTCCAACTCACTTCATCCCGTCTATTGGACATTCTAGAAAAGATACTCTCGCAGTCCCTCATATCTCCACATTTCCCATAGCAAGCCAAAAGTGCATTCTCTATAGCAGTGTCAGCTGCAACATTATGCTTTAAGACTAAACCATGAATCTGCTTGCCCAGTGCATGAAGTGAAAGAGAAGATACTGCGGCAAGTATGCTAATGAAGGTTACTCTATTTGGACGCCATCCCGCCCGCATCATGACCAGGAAATTTTTCACAGCTTCAAGCAATGATGACTCTGAATCTGCTAAAGCTCCAATCAAAGAGTTCCATGAAACTTGATCGTATTCGAGCATCAAGGAGAAAGCTTTCTGGCATTCCTCCACAGACCCAGTCTCACCATACAAAGCTAAAAGAGCATTTGAAACAGAAACATCCAAATCAAGCCCCAGTTTAAGTCCTTCACAATGTAACTGTTCTCCAACCCTGATCCATCCTAAGCTTGTAGAGGAACTTAAAGCACTAATCATCGTGAAATTTGAAGGAAATAATCCTGTTCTCCTCATCTCTTGAAAAGTTTCAACTGCATCTAAAAAGTGTTCGTTTTGGTCCAGACCGGTAATCATAGAGTTCCACGTGACTGAATCCTTATTGTCCATGAGCCTAAAAACTGTAGAAGCATCATTGATAGCTCCACATTTAGCATACATATTTATGAGGCCATTCCCAATTGCAATCTTAGCATTGAGTAAGCCTGTTCGGATGAGGTATGCATGAACCTCACTTCCCTTCCTCTTCCCATCTTCCAGAACACAGAACTCAGGAAAGGCAGTCAAAAGAATCACATAAGAATCAAGGTTTATTTCAACCGAATCCTTCATCTCCGCGAAAAGTTCAACTGCTTCTTCACCTCTACTCTGTCTAACCAGTCCAATTATCAAACCATTCATAGATACTGCATTTCTATAACTCATCCGCTGAAAAATATCCTTGGCATAATTGATCGACCCGAACTTTGCAAACCCACTAACCAAAGCACTACCTACATATAAATCATGAGAGAAACCAGATTTTTCCACCCTGCTCAGCATCTGTTTAAGCAAAGTCAAACCAGAATCGACAAAAGAAATGGTAGCAGATATTAAACTACCAAAGGTATACTCATTTGGTCTGAGACGATCTCCCATGACTTCCTTCTGCACAGTTGAAAAGATTACAAATGCAGAAATTGCATCTCCCCTTTGGCAATATACAGAAATCATAGAGTTCCAAGATATCAAGTTTCTGGGCCATATGCTATCAAAAACACGACGGGCATAATCAACCATGCCCACAACACTTCCATACATCGATATCAAAACATTACTTGTCGTAACATCAGTGCAATACTGAGTTTTCGACATCAACCCATGAATTTGCATCCCAAATTTCAAACCATACTCGCCACAGTCTTGGCAAGCTCGAATGGCGCTGCTAAAAGAATAGTGATTAGGCATAAAATTATCAGCAACCATTCTCATAAAGAGCCCACAAGCCTCATTTGGCATTCTGTTTTGAGTATACCCTGATATCAAACAAGACCAAGTGACCGAGTTCCTAAGGAGCATTTCGTCGAACACCTTCCGGGCGGAACCCAAATCACCAACTCTAGCATAAACATTAATAAGGGTATTACACAAAAACAAATCATTAACGAACCCATTTTTGAAAACCTGCAAATGGAACTCGTCCGCATCTTTTGGGCAGCAAGAATCCCGGTACCGCCGAACGAGAGACTCAACCTTTTCATCACGTTGTACAGGATTGGAGTGAAGTTGAGATGATTTGTACTGATCCACCAAGATTTGCAACGGGATTGAAGACGGAGGAAGAGGGTTGCTAATGGGTTTGAAGAAAAGAGGGTCATGGTGAGAATGTGGAATTGAAGAAGCAGAGCGCGAGGAGGTGAGAACAAGGCTATGACCATAAGCGACTACTTTTCTTCTATGAATGTGGACGAAGCAGCGGGACATAATAGAAGGGTTGCGAGAGGAAAGCAGTAAGGACGAGCCACCATGTCTGATCACCGGTCCATAGGAGCGGCCTGCAAGTCCAGTCGACGGTTGTGTGTATAATGCCGGCTGCGAGGACGAAGAAGATTAAAAAAAAACAAAAGGGATCTTACAAACAGATGGCGGGAACTTGGAATTTGCATCTAAAATCCAAACTAACCTAAAAAAAATTAACTTTTGATTTTTTTTTTTTTTTTTTTTTTTACTTTTTTTTATAGGAAATTTCATTTATACCCATGAGGTTCAATGGATCGGTGGGAGATGTTGAGGGTTGTCTCGAATTTTCATCGATCTTTTCAACGAAGTACTGAAAAAAAATGTTTAACGGAAAAAGTATATGTTAGTGCTATACCTGTACGTGTCTTTCCATTTCACCTCTTTTCTCATCCCACCGAGGCCCGAGAAACAATATCTTGTGTCTTTTAGTAAAAAAAGAAAAAAGTTAATCTAATTTGAAAATTCTTGTGTTTAAGCAAAGTCAAACCAGAATCGACAAAAGAAATGGTAGCAGATGTTAAACATCTTGTGTCAATTGTTTCGCGAGAAACAATTGTTGTTTGTCCAAAATTGTTGGCTATTTTTTTTTTTGGAGCAAAAGTAAAAAAAAGTTACCTTTTAGTAGGTAAGTCTCAAATCGTCTCATCAAATAAATTCAAGGGCATTTTTGGAATAGTATTTAAATTTAAGGGTAGAAATGAAAATTTTTGATAAAGTGAGGAGAACTCAGTAATAATTGTCACGTACTTGGCAAAAATGTCAAAGGTTCGAATCTCTCGATCTCTAAAGGTCGTTAAACTAAAAAAATGAAACTTTTCAAAGTCTTGGAGCGTAATTAAAGGAATATTTTATATTATTTAGCCATTTTTTAAATGTCGTGGTTAAGTTTTTTTTCTTTTTTTAATTAAAATTTTCTATGGCATCAATATAACAATGACTTATATTTCTTATATTAATCAAATTTGTAATTGAATTTGGAAACATTTATCCTGAAGTATCAAGAAAAGTATTTATGAAAATTAAAAAAAAAAAATATATATATATATATATATTTAAAAATTATACAGATGCAAATAAAATAAATATAAAAGGTCAATTGTTTGTTCATGAACAGTTCTAATTTGAAAATTCTTTAAAGTTGAACAATTTATTTATTTTTAAAATATTTGAAATATATAATAAATTGTCATTTTGAGGATAGAGAGGAGAAAAATACGATTTTTTTTATAGAATAAAAATAACAGAGTTCTTTGTCACATTATATATGAAAATAACCTTAATATGATTTATATTCAAATATTAATTCTTTTTATAATAACATGTAATGTTTTATGATTTAAATCTTATTTTAATTTCTAAATTTATACATATAATTGCAAGTTTCAATATTCTCGTATTAAAATCATGTTAGATAATTATTTGATTTTTTGTTTAAAAAAATGATGAAAAACAAAAATAAAATAATTATTAAACCGAGCCTAAGATTTCATATTTAAGTCAACAAGAATGATCACATTTATATCTATTTTGATGTATTGAATTAAAAAGAAGTCTAGCCTAACACTTAAATGACCCGTACGAATATTTATGATAATTTGAGAAACACTAATAGTATATTATGAACAACTCCATAAAACATTCATACCGTTCTCTTATCCGATCCTTGTTCTTATGCATGAAAGTTTGAAAGTGCATGTATCTCGACCATTCTCACTGAACAATTGTAGACCTCAGTACATTTAACTGTCAAGATAACCGGTAAAATACTAAATCATACGGGTATGTGATCATTGTCAAAGAATAATTTTTCAGAAAACAAACAAAGCTCAATCGACATAAAGCAAATACTCTCGACCATTAAATCATACGGGTATGTGATCACTGTCAAATAATAACTTTTCAAAAAACAAACAAAGCTCAATCGACATAAAACAAGTACTCTCAGCTCAAGAAATCAACAACTAGAATAGAGTTTCGAACTTTTAAACTCTTAGTCGAAAGTATATGTCTTAGCTGTATTCAAACGGCCCGAAGATACTATAATGCCTCAGATCCATCGCTAGCAGATATTGTTCTTTTTGGGCTTTCCCTTTCGAACTTCCCTTCAAGATTTTAAAAGGTGTCTACTGGGAGAAGGGTTTCAAATCCTAATAAAGGGTGGTTTGTTATCCTCCTCACTCCTCAATCCATGGGACATGACAGTCCAAGTAAAAGATATAATAATAAAAAAAAAAAAATTCCCAAATCCAAAGCAGTTGATGAAAACATCAATCTTTTGAAAGAATTCAGACCAAATCTGAAACCCACATAAACAAACCATTTATTCAAATCACTTTCCGATGTGGGCCCAACAACCACTCATAAAAACAAAAAATTTCAAGGTAGTGGATACATAAAATAATCATTTTAAAGTTGAAAAGATTCCACATGCCATTCCATTCAGATCGCTATATCTCGGTTGCAGTCTAAAACAATTTTATATTTACACTGTTACCTCTCAGAAGCTGCTCGTTTTTGTCAACGTGGAGAATTCATCAATGGCTTCTTTCTCCATTTTCAGCATGAAAATTTTGACCCTTCTTCCTCAAGCCCCCCTTTGACCTTCGACCGTTTCCAAACTTTCCCAAAACCCGGTTGCTTCCAAAAGATTAAACTAATGCGTTGAGTTACAGATGATCAATGATGTTCTTTTCATTTCATATCAAAGCGATAATCATGGAGGAAAGCTCTTAACTTTTAAGGCAAAAAAGAGCTTACCTCTAGCTTTTTCTCAAACAGTTTCACAAAGGAAGAACTTAGATCTCGATCCGGATTGGAGATTCTCATTGCTGATCTACAGAGCCTGGAATTCATCTGTATGTTCTGGTTTTCCTGTGAGAATTCTGTGTTAGTTGAAGAATTTGTCAAGGAAAATGCTTCTGTGCAAGAGAGATTCAACTACCTTGGTTGCTGTTCTTGTGGCTTGTGTGGTATTGCTCTTTGGAGCTGTGAGCAGCCAACCGAGCCTTGAGCCTCGTTTTGCCTATGTTGGATTCAATGAAAGGGAGCACAACCAAGACTTCTCCTTCACTCAAGGGTCGTCTTCCATCGATGAGGGCGCCCTGCAGCTAACTCCCGACTCGCAGAACGATATTGTTCGCCTTCAAAATACGTCTGGCCGGATTATGTACCACCAGCCCTTCAAGTTATGGCTAGATGAAGAGGGAGATGACATTGTTGCTTCTTTCAACTCATACTTTTACATCAATATTTTCAGAAAGAAAGAATGGAATGCCGGTGAGGGGCTTACTTTTCTTATAGCTCCGACTGCTGATGTACCTGATCAGAGCTGGGGGCAGTGGATGGGCCTCACCAATGCAACTACCGATGGCAGCATCACAAACCAAATTGTAGCCATTGAATTTGATACCCAGAAGCAGGATTTCGACCCCGATGACAACCATATCGGTCTGAACGTCAACTCCATTCGATCGAGGAAGACTGTTTCCTTGAATAAAGCTGGCATAGTTTTATCCCCAGAGATTGGAACCAATTACAGCATCTGGGTTGTTTATGATGGAATATCCAAACTTTTGCAGGTTTACATGTCTGCAAACAAAGATCCAAAACCTGATAAACCTCTTCTCAATGAAACAATAAACCTCAAACAGTATGTGAAACAAGAATCATATATTGGATTTTCTGCTTCCACAGGCAGCCCGGAAATTCAGTTGAACTGTGTCTTGGAATGGATGCTGGATTTGGAACATCTGGCAGAGAAGAAAAATCTAATTTGGTTGAAGATCCTTGCCGGGGTTGGAATCCCGATACTAACGATCGTGATTCTGATTGGGGTTTGGTTATTTGTTAGTTATATGAAGAGGAGAAGAGTGAGCAGGGACGAGGAGTCGAATGTTCAGGGCACGCTGAAGAGGTTGCCGGGAATGCCGAGAGAGTTCAAGTACAAGGAACTAAGGAAGGCGACTCATAACTTCCATGAAAGCATGGTTCTGGGAAATGGAGGCTTCGGGGTTGTTTACAAAGGAATTCTAGAAGAAAAGGATAAGGACTTCACTGCATCATCAAGTTCTGTTGCCAGGCTTGAAGTTGCTGTCAAGAAATTCTCCAGGGACAGCATTAAGAGCAAAGGCGATTTTCTGGACGAGCTCACCATTATTCACCGTCTTCGCCACAGGAACCTCGTCCGTTTAGAAGGTAAAACTTCCATTCTTCTGCCAAGTTCGCATCAAAATATATAATTTGCTAAAGAAAAGACAGTAATTGAGAGGTTTCACTAAAATTCTGTAACGGCCCAAGCACACCGCTAGTAGATATTGTCCTCTACGGGCTTTCCCTTTCGGGATTTCCTTCAAGGTTTTTAAAACGCGTCTGCTAGGGAAAGATTTCCACACCCTAATAAAGGTTGTTTCATTCTCCTCCCCAACCGATATGGGATCTCACAAAATCCAACCCACTTCGAGACCCAGCGTCTTTACTGGCACACCGCCTCATGTATACCCCATTCCAGGGAACAGCCTCCTCACTAGCACATCACCCGGTGTCTGGCTCTGATACCATTTGTAACAGCCCAAGCCCACCGCAAATAGATATTGTCCTCTTTGGGCTTTCCCTTTTGAGCTATCCCTCAAAGTTTTTAAAGTGTGTCGGCTAAAGAAAGGTTTCCACACCCTTATAAAGGGTGTTTCGTTCTCCTCCCAACCCACGTGGGATATCACAAATTCTAAATCAAAGAGAGTGATAGAACATATATTTGTGTAGTTCAGTGTAATTTCAAACCAATGTACTAAAATATGCATTGAATACTTGTTCAGGGTGGTGCTACGAGAAAGGGAAGCTTTTATTAGTATATGATTTCATGCCTAATGGAAGCCTTGAGAATCACCTGTATGACATTGCTGACCAGAATGTTCTCAACTGGAGACATCGCTATAAAATCCTTGTAGGAGTTGCATCAGCGTTGCATTACCTGCATAATGAGTACGACCAGAAGGTATTGCACCGAGATATCAAATCAAGCAATATCTTACTTGATTCCGACTTCCATGCTCGTCTAGGAGATTTCGGCCTTGCGAGAGCGTTGGACCCTGAAAGAAACTCTTATGCAGACCTCCAACATGGAGGAGTTGCAGGCACAATGGGTTATGTTGCTCCTGAATGCTTCCACGAAGGAAGGGCGACTCCAGAATCCGACGTATATGGTTTTGGGGCAGTGGTGCTTGAGATTGTTTGTGGCAGGAGACCAGGAGCTCCTGTGAAAGACGAGCAACATCAATATAACTTAGTTGATTGGGTGTGGAAGGTACACCGTGAAGGACATATCGAAAAAGCAGTCGATAACCAGCTTGGTGATGATATTGTGGTCGATGAAGCTAGGAGGCTTCTACTACTTGGGTTGGCATGTTCACATCCCATGGCAAGTGAACGGCCACAAAGTCAGGATATACTCCAAATTTTAAATGGAGCTTTGCCTGCACCTCGTGTACCTCCATTCAAGCCAGTCTTCATGTGGCCTCCCATGAACACTACCTCCTCCACCAGTAACAATCTCAGTTCACTGTCAAACACAAATAACTCTCTTTGATGAAGTTTCACCATAGCTGGTCCTGTGCTTCAGTCCCTGCAACTTACATCATTAAATTGGAGTAGACAACATCATTTGTTTATTGTTTTTATTATTTTCACTAAGATATGTGGTGTGTAATGTGAATATGTATACCTGGGTTCGAACTCCCGACGTCCCGAGAGGTCCATCAAGTTGATTCTGATTATACACTAGCACTTGTATGTATACCTGGGTTCAACTCAGCAAGCTACATTCTCGAGACGGTCGATCAAGTTGATTCCGACGTCCTAATCATCCTACTCTCCCTGCTTCCAGATAGCCAACTGAATGTACAATCTTTCTTGCTTTACAGATACAGCATTTGACATGTTTTCTAATGAATCAAAGATCATTTAACAGCTTCCTAAATTGCAGATTATAGAACAATTCAAGTCCAACATTTTAAGTCTTATCGTCTTCTATCTACTCCCAGCAATTACACCGCTATTTTAGTAACATTCAATCTTCTATCATGAAATGAAGAGTTCATCATAATCTCCTCCAACAAAGAGCAACAAATCCCCATTACACACCATTGCAACCTCTAACACACTAGAAAACAACTCCATGGGGAGTAAGCAAACTGGCAACCACACAAAAGATGATGGAGATCCTTCTCTTGCTGACAACAAAGGACACACCATTCCATATGCAGCATTAAGGAAGAATGTCATTGCGATCCAGGTGTTATAAAACTTTTAGACTTTTATGAAACACGAGCAGATATTATCCACTTTGACCTATCACGTATCATCGTCAGCCTCACGGTTTTAAAACGCATCTGCTAGGGAGAGGTTTCCACACCCTTATAAGAAATGTTTTATTCTCTTCTCCAACCAATTTGGGATCTTATAATCCACTCGTTTGGAGGCTCAGCGTCCTAGCTGGCACACCATTTGGTGCCTGGCTTTGATACCACTTGTAACAGCCCAAACTCACCGCCAATAGATATTGTTCGCTTCGACCTGTTACGTATCGCCATCAACCTCACGGTTAAAACGGAGAGGTTTCCACACCCTTATAAGGAATGCTTTAAAACGCTTCTGCTAAGGAGAGATTTCCACACCTTTATAAGAAATCTTTCGTTCCCTTCTCCAACCAATGCGGAATCTCACAGAACTTCCTCTTTTGAATGCCAATTTTTTCCAAATATTCCTAGTTTTCAGAAGCTCTTTCATCCTGCATAGCTTCCAAACGCCTACACTTCTCAAACATCTTATCAATGTTTCTACCATCAAAACCTTCGTCCCTGAAGAACACAGCATGCTAGTATCATCGCAACTGGTGCAAATTTCCATAAACCTATTGGGATATGGAGCGATGCCTAGATCTGGCAGACATATATTTGGAAGATATTTGTAAAGATTTGAGAGATATATTTGTTAGATTATATCTAGTTTAAATCTTTGGAAACTATATTTAGTAAATTGAAACCATATATATACCAGCCGTGTCAAGATGTACTTCTCTTCATTCTATGATGTTGTACATGCCTAAAAAGTCATAATAATAAAACCTTTAGCCAATATTCCTCCTTGTAGTTTCTCTCTCCGGTTCTTTAGGTTTATCTTGACGAGTATATGCGTTGTATCAAGTGTGTACGTTGTTGAGTGATCCTAACAATTGGTATCAGAGCTAACAGGTTGTATCAATACTAACAAAACCCTTAACATTCAGCATACGAACAGATTTTTCATAATCCCACGAACTGTCCGTAGAAAAGATTAATGCAAAGTTGTGAAAAGGATTCGAAATTAAACTCCGCATTCTAAAATCTAAGCCCTAGAGAGAGAAATGCGAAGCAGAATGACGATAATAAGCACAGGAAAAATGGTATTCACCTTCTTTGATCAGATGGATAAGCTAATAGTTTGTATGAACTTACAGCGCTCGATCAAACTTCAAATTCTGAGGAAATTGCAATAACAGAAACAAGATTTCTGAATCTTGAAAGAACACAGCAGCGTTAGCTCGCCTGTTTTCCATTCTTCATCCCTCCAAAATTTTCATTGACCTGAAATACAATTTCTATAGAGAATTTATATATATATATATATTAGAAAAAATATTTAATTCAAATTATTTTTATAGAATAATTTTCATTTTTTAATATAACTTTTAATAAAAAAAAAATAATAAATCGAGTAATAAACATAATTTTAAAAAATGCGAATTAACTAAAAATGGAATGCCCAAAACCCTTCGTAAAACCCTCCATTGTTATCTGATCATTTTCCGACTGATATCAATCTCTTCATCAATTTCCCAGTTCGAGATTTCTCATGGGAGCGTTGGAGTTGCAATTTCAATATCGCTTTCGAGTTTCAAAGATTTTGTTTTCAACAATTTGGAATTGGGAAAGAGAATCTCCTCTTCTCCACAATCCATTACGAACGCCGGATTTCTCGCTCTCGCCGGTGCGATCTCGCTGTTTCAGCTCGAATTCCATGGATGACGATTGCGCCTTCTCAAAGTCTGAGCCGAGAAGCAGCTCACCGCTCCGGCGTTCTCCTCCGGATCCCTGAGAAGCTCGTCGAGTTCCGAAATTCCCCGGGGAAGTATCTGCTTCTTACCTTGAGGATAATTGGAACCAACGCGTTAATAAACATTCTGAAGGGTCGGTATCTCGGCAAAGGAGTGAGTCGTTGTCTCAGAAGGATTCTAGCTTTCTTGAAAAATTCAAGCTGAATGCAGATAATCAGAGAAGTAGTAAAGAGAAGACCGAGCAAAGCTCTTCTGCTCGGGTTTCTGAATCAATGCAGGAGAAGGAGCCGCAGCCGCCGCGTCCTCTAGAAGCCGACGGGATATTCAAGAAAATGAAGGAGACAGGTCTAATTCCTAATGCTGTGTAAAGATGGGCTTATCCAAGAAGCTATGAAACTCCTTGGTTTGATTCGTGAGAAGGGTACAATTCCAGATGTTGTGGTTTACACCGCTGTTGTTGATGGGTTTTGCAAGGCTGAGAAGCTTGAAGAAGCTATTAGGATCTTCAGGAAAATGCAGAGTAATGGCATTTCTCCTAATGCTTTCAGTTTTGGCGTCTTGATACAGGGGCTGTGCAAATGCAAGAAATTAGAGGATGCTGTAGCATTTTGCATTGAGATGTTAGAATCTGGGTACTCACCAAATTTAGCCACTTTTGTTGGCTTAATTGATGAGTTGTGCAAAGAAAGGGGAATGGAGGAAGCTCAGAATGTTATAAAAACCTTGAAACAAAAGGGGTTCTTGATTAATGGGAAGGCTTTAGGGAATTATTTGAATAAACGAGCTCCATTTTCTCCAAGTATCTGGGAAGTGATCTTTGGGAAGAAAACGAAGGAATTCTTCTGAGATCGTTGTCGTGGACATAAAAAACTGTACGTCTTCTTTCCTTTCCCTTTTATGCAATCCTTTCGCCAATTTAAGATACTTTTACCTTATTATATGGAGTAATTTGCATGGCATGTAAGAATCTGGTTGAAGTTGAAGAGTGAACAATCTACAACTATAGAAGTGAGGTTTTAAACAATTGTGTAAGCTATGAATGTTTCCTTGCTTCCTTCCATTAACGACTAGACAAAGATGGATCTGTTATCAGACTTAGCTTCCCTAATGTGACTATAAGCATGAAGTGTCCTCTCATTTAATTGATCATTCTCTATGGTGAGTTCTTGTAACGGTCCAAGCCCACTGCTAACAGATATTGTCCTCTTTGGCCTTGCCGTTTTAGGCTTCTCTTCAAGGCTTTTAAAACGGGTCAGCTAGGGAGAGGTTTCCATACCTTTGGTTTGTTCCCCTCTCCAACCAATGTGGAATCTCACAATCTCCTCCCCCTCCGGGGCCCAGTGTGCTCACTGGCACTCGTTCCTCTCTCCAATCAATGTGAGATCTCACAATCTACCCCCCTTCGGGGCCAGTGTCCTCATTGAGGGAGAGGTTTTCACACCCTTATAAAGAATGTTTCGTTCCCCTCTCCAACCGACAACTAATGTGGGATCTCACAACTATACTCTTACTCCCTGTTATATTCTTCAATTTAGGTGAGAAAGAAAGCCCATGTTACAAGGTAACCCTTTATTTTTAAACCTTAGCACAGCTCATCATTAATGCCGAATATGTTGGTATCACGTGATTATTTAGATACTTTGAGGCATTGACTAACTTATGAAGTATTGAGTCCTATGTGGGGTCGGCACCGGCCCTCCTTTCCAGCCGGAATCATGGTTCTAACTTCTAACACACTAAAGTATTAACATGGAACTCAATGAAATCTAGGAGATACTCACCTCACGAATTTCGAGGTCTCTTCTATTATTATTATTATTTTTTTTTTTTTTAGTTCAACACTTTATGATGCGTGAGCAAAGATTCGAACCGTAACAGTCCAAACCCTCGCTAGCAAATATTGTCCTCTTTGGACTTCCCCTCAAAGCTTTAAAACGAGTCTACTGAGGAGACTCTTATAAAGAGTGTTTTCTTCCCCTCTCCAACAGATGTGGAATCTCACAATTCACACCCCTTTGGGGCCCAGCGTCCTCCTTTGAACACCGCTTGGTATCCACCTCCTTTCGGAGTTCGGCCTCCTCGTTGACACATCGCCTAGTGTCTAGCTATGATACCATTTGTAACTGTCTAAGCCCACTGCTAGCGGTTATTGTCCTCTTTGGACTTCTCCTCAAGGCTTTAAAACGCATCTACTAGAGAGAGGTTTCCACACCCTTATAAATAGTATTTTATTCCTCTCTCCTACCAATGTGGGATCTCACACGAACCTAGATGAACGAACCTAGATGAATTGAACTATGCTTTGATGGGCAGAATTTTGAGGTCTAAGATAGAAAGTTTTTTTCATTTCAGTTATCAGTCATTAATACCGTAGGCTACATAAATTCAAGCTTATAGCATGAACTGTCTTTATCATTGCACACTGATTTTACAAATAAGAACTCATTTCCTTGCACAATCAGGTGGATTTTTTAGCAGAGTTTGGTTGTTGGGTAGGATTTAAATGGCATAATCAAAAGGATTGCAATGAGAATTAACAATATTGGTTAGTATTGTATAGATATGCTCATCTTTTCTATAAAGTTAAGCTTCCCAAACCCAAATTTTATAATGTCCAATATATTACGAGTCGAATATCCTTGATTGGTGATATTCCTCCAAAAATCAAGGCCTGAAGTCAACCCACCTGATTTTGGGAAGCCAAGTTTCAACTATATATATGCCTCTGATTCTTTCCCTGCCTAGAGAAACCATCAACAGAGCTAGAGAGAGAAGAAAAGAAGAAGAAGCTGTGGTGCTGAGTTCTTGGCAGAATGATAAGCTTAGCATTAGGTCGAGGTCCAACCTGTGTGGCCACCATTGTCTTCTTCACTTGTGTGTGGATCCCTCTGTGTCAACTGAAGACGTTCCTCGAGAGCATGATCGGGATTCTGTCAGGCAGGACGTATCAGCAGCTCACAATGGAGTTGCCACCGTGCGAGGTAAAACTTCCAGTTTGTAGGTTCGAAGAGCTGCATCGTGGCGGCAGATCGGAAGAGGATATTTGCTCCGTTTGCTTGGCGGAGTTCACCCGAGAAGATTTGGTGAGCCAACTGCATAGATGTACCCATATTTTTCATTATGAATGTATTGAGAATTGGCTCCATAGATATCATTTTACCTGCCCTTTGTGCAGATCCCTTCTCTCTTCTACACTGTAAATCCTTTTGGAACTTGAATTCCAATGTCCATGGTTTATAGATACTAGTAGTAAAATTTAATTCGTATGAACTACGAGTAGTTTTAGCTTGCATTGTCGTCGTACTCATCAAACGATGAAAGAACATATTCTTTTTGTGTAGTATTTGACATATCATTTGATGATTTATTATCTTGATTTACAAGCTCCACAACGTTCTTAAATGTTTTTTTTTTTTTTTTTCGATAACAATGAATTTTTTTTGAATTTTCATTAAAATTGTTATTGAATTGCAACCCCGAGCAATTTTATTGTAATGTTTATGATTAGGATGATTTGTTTTTGTAATTTTTTAAAACCCTGTTGTTTTTGGAATGATTGCTTTTATTTTATTTTATTTTTTTTAATAATATTTGGCTTTTTTTTATAGTTAAAATGTAGTTTTAATTGCTCATTTTTTATACCTTGTTTTTTTTTTTTTT